ATAAATTTAATATAACAAATTTTTATACGTTGATATATATCCACTATGAGTCCACTGGTTTTAAGTTTTGAAAGATGATGTCCTCCCCCCTCATATGCCTCACAGTGGTTTCGTCCTTTTTCAGTGACAAATCTTCTGAGTTATTTAGACCATCAGCAGGAGAGTGAGAAATATACAAAAGTATCTGTTTATTCCCCCGCATTGTGCTCAGAGTAATTTCAGTCAGCAGCTCTTCTCTCAGTAGCACTGCGTCTCTCCCTCTCCCTAGGAGCGGGTTACTATGGTGACGGGGACGCTCTGTGTCTCTGTAGCTATGAAACTTTGAGACAACATGGGAGGACAACAGGGATGTAGACAACACCGGTGGAGAACAGCAAGGCAGACATTACAGGAGGAGAACAGGAAAGCAGAATATGAAATATCCACCGTTGTAAATATCTTATCATGGAAGTAAGCAAGACTACACATCTGACCATTAAAAAACTGTTTTGCTATGCTATGGGACATATTTCTGTGTTTATCCAAAAGGTATTGAGTTTTGATACCCAGGCCTAATAGAGTTTTCCAAATGGGGATACACGTCCAGGGGTACCTTGGAAAAATTGTGGAGTAGCACAGCTAGCTTGAAAAAATAGAAATTCTTGATTGACTAAAATATTTATCCACATATTTGTTTTTAGGAGAAAAGTAAACAGAAATAGGATTACAAATTGTGTGAGGTGGATCTTTGTTATTTTCAACATCCCTCAGAAACCATCAGCATGTCACCTGACTTGGTTTTAATTTTGTTATTTACCAAGTTAGCAAGAAAGCAGAGAAGCCAAACTAGGTAGTTATACATGTAAGTTTAGTTTAGTTAATGTTAAGGTGACATTCGGATCTCTCAAACACAATTTTCAGAGGGAAAGAGAGTCAGAGAGAGAAGTGTCTGCGTGCACACGCGAGGAGAGCAGGAGGGAGAGAAAACAGAGATACCACAGCAGTAAGTGTGACAAACACGTCAGACCAGAAAAGACACACTTTCCAACTCAAGCCAACGAGTAGGCTACTGTAATATATAATTCATTTTACTGTTCACAAAAACACACATCAAAACGATCTACCCTAATTGCAAAGTTTTGGAGCTTTTTACATAACTGTATTTTATTTCACATTATAATTATCTCAATAAATTTATCAAATTATCTTCCCTAATTGGAAAGTTTATTGCATTTTCTCTGTTAGTATATCTCTTTGTTCTTCTTTGTTTTTGTAATTGAGGCTGGTCACCCCTCAATGATATAAAGGATGAATGAAGGAATGAAAGAAAGAATATTTAATACTTTTATGTAATATTCTTGCCCACTGTGAGGTCATTGTGATGTATCTCAACCAGTGGCTTCGTTTGTTGCTGCTGTTATTTCTTTTATTTAATCACAATAATAATACACAACTTTTAAGTAGTCTACTGAGCAAGGTTTGTTTACAGTCAGCAATAAACCAAATGATGATACACAGAGGTCCTCACATTGTAGTCGTGATGTATTCTAGATATCTATGAACCAGTAAAGTCAGTTAGCCAATATGCACATTACCAGAGCTGGAACTGGGATACCTAAAGGGAATTACACCTGTGTGTTTTCTGCTATAACATGTCAAAATCTGTGAAAAGGCCCGTAAAAGGTGTAATCTGTTTCACCCTCACAAGTACAACAACAATAAACAAACGATCAGGTGAGTGGGGAAGATGTCAATCAAGCACAGTCTGTACATGACCACGCAGTCCTGTGAGGAGGCCTTCTAGAGCAAAATAAGGGAACCTTGACCTTGTAAATGGCAGCTTTACAAAAACTGGAACATAGGCAGGAGTATTGATCTCTGGATACAACCTATTATCACATGATTGAAATTCCATAATTAGGTCACAAATTAGCCATTTTGATGAGCAACTCCAGTTGGCCATCTCATGGCAGGCCATGAGGTGTGGCTGAAAGCTTTGGAAAAGTTGGACAGTGTGATGAGAATTATATTTTGCATGCTAGTTTAGTTTAGCTTTTACATTTTGAGAAGGGATGGTTAACATTTCCTACATCTAAAAAAGACTTATTTCCACTGTGGTCCTTGACATATATATTTAAATTACAGTAATGCATGCAATACACCTGTCCAAAATTTAGTACTCATTGTTTACTGTAACTACTGATTGCTTATTATTTAGGAGGTAGCGAATGTGTGACTGAGGGAGTGATTTCAGACATAGATTAAGTTTGAGGAATGGATTAAACTGAGTTCAGTGTTTAAGTGAACTACAATCAGGGTTTTCACAATAACACCATATTTAGATTCATTGTTTTAAAAAACGGTTTAGTAATGCTGACTACAGTGTTTTATAACCGGATCAAACTCATAAATGTTAAGAGGTATACCTCTAAATTATATTCTGACTTACTGCGAGGTTTTAAGAAATTGGTGGGTGGATAAAAGGAGGACTGAAACTGAGTGAGAGAAAGCCGGAGACTGTGGGTCTACTGTGGCCGGATCAATGAAGACTCTTGATTCAAACTGCTGTCTTCGCTTCTAAAATCTGTGATCAGCTCTGAATGTGGCATTTAAAAAAGTTATTGGATAATTGTTTGAGAAAAAACCCCCACAACATTGTGGGGAGAAGGTTTGCCACATCCAGCCAGTATGTGTGACCCTTGCATGCCTTCAGGCAAGAAGCGAGAAGAGTCCCTTAAATCTGTGCTTGAGCTAATTGCTGTTGGATATAGGATGTTTATTGTGTGGATGAGCTGGCAATTGTGCCTGAAAAAACTCAAATTAGAGTATTTTTGCCGTATTTACATATGAGTAGCCCCAAGACAACAGGCATTAATCCTCCCATGCTGAGATGCAGGTGTAAAGCAAAGCAGAATAGGGACGTTTTTTAAGGTTATTAACAGGAAAACTAGTGTTATAGGATGGCAACCTGCTGGGGGGCTAAGTATGGCACTAAGTCTAGAGGGCTTGAGGTAAATAATAACCTTCCTCCACCTACAGTATAACATGGACCATTGGTGATTAAAAAGAGTGGGTGGTTGAGCGGTGCTCCATTTCAGTCAAAACTTTGTGATGTCACCAACAAAAAATTACACTTTTTTATTCAGTATTTCTCTTAAAAAACAGATTCCGACTTCAGACCATTATCTAAATTTCTGATGGTGACTGCAAAGTTTAAAAATACCAGATATGTCAGGATGCGTGCAATATATAGAAGATTTCAATTTGATGGGAAGTCACAAAAAACATTAGGTCTCGGGTTGGATTAATTCACTCCAAAGTGTGATTTAACTAAAGGTTTGAAACAAGCAGATAGAGATTGCATTTAGTTAAGTGACAATTTATGTTGGAAATGAGAGTTTAAAAAATTTGAAAACCCCACAAAGAATAATTAAGGAAGCCATCAGTTACAACATACAGATCATTCATAAGGTTTAAGGGGCTAGTTGACAATGATGAGTAAGAACACGATTTGGGTTGCCAAAATGGAAAATCCTTTTGGCTGGTGTTGAGCCTTGCATTTGATCATGCAGTTATAAATGTTGATATTTTTTTAAGAGGACATCCAGTCTGTGATTGTAGAAATATTAATAATAGATTTAGGATTTGCTTTGCAACAGAAGGTCAGTGTTCAAACAGTTTACTGAAGGGGTCTTCCTGAGGAATTAAAGGGCCTGCTAAAAAGACAAAGTAAAAATAGTGTGGAAGCAGATAAACACCTGCCAGAAAGCAGTTATTTCTAATGGCTCATAAGTGGTCAGTAAAAAGGAATTGCTTTATTAACCATTGATTAAGCCATTAGTTACAGTTATTGGGTCCTTTATGGGGTTTATGCCTTAACAAAAAAGGTTAACGTGTAATTATATTATATTATATCACGACAGATCTACGGCTGAGGTACGGCTGTGATAATGATCAGAAATACATTTTCTTCATATCGCCCTTTTCTTCCCCGCCCTCCTTCGTCCTCGGCGTGTTACATGCGCTCCTCTCTCCCTCTGACTTGTCGGGAGTCCCTTTAGGTAGAACGGCCCCGCAAACACATGAATTCAACACGGCCCGTGTGGCGAAGAGAAGAGCGGCTGCTGCGCATTGTAACTCCCACAAACACTGTGGATTCCAGCAAACTTCTTGTGTGCCTCTTGGAGAAAAAACACTCTCTTTTCATTTGTCCTCTTAGCCCTTTTCCAAGCTAAGTCTTTTCTTTTTTTTCCCCTCGCTCCCTCTTAATCCGTCCCTCTATTTCAGGACGAAAAAAAAAAAACACAAAACCAGGTTCACGCAGTGCTTTAGTGGCTAAAAGTGAAAGAGCTTGTGTTTTTTTTCTCTTTCTTTTTTTCTCTCCATGCGCAGAGTTTGAGTCTGGAAAATTGCTTCTTTTGAATAGACGAACGGAGGAACAACATTTAATAGGATCCAAAGGGAGTCTCTGCTCATAAACAGGTGGACGTTGGACGTCCTCGAATTTATACAAATAGTAAGTAAGTATCCTATAGGCTACGCCCGGCGAGGAAAATGAGGGACCCCATCTCCAAGGATTAGCAGCTTTCTCCTGAAAAAAAAAAATCCCAAACAAAGAAAAAAAAAAAGGAAATAAGTTATGTTAACCAAATGAAAGCAGGGACGTCCAGTCCAATGCGTGTTTAATGAAGAAAACACAGTTTTGATAGGCTAATATTTCCCCCCATTTTCTTGAGGGAAGTGGTTTCATATTTGTGTGGTAGATGACATATGGTAGCCTGTGTGAGCCTTGCCACCCCCTCCATTAAGGGGGTGAGGGCGTGCAGGTTGACGAGGGCGTCTCCCTGTCACCTAGTTAAGAGTTTGGGTGCCCGCTGATGTCAGGAGACAGTGATCTGCGCTGAGGAGGGGCGGCGCTGCCAACATGTGACAGAGAGCAGTCGGCTGGTTTCTCCACACCCATCTGACCATTAAAGAGGTAAACTCCAACACAGACTAAACTTTATGCTTCGCATTCTCCCGGAGCTCAGACTACAACATTTTCCGTCTTTTATCCCTCTACACTTTTTCTTCTTCCTCTTCTCCCTAACTACCTCAGTAATGCCCTGGTAATTTTGTGTGCACTAGTTAATGAGCATTAATCCATCACCCCTGGATGCTATTGTTGCAGGGGGGGTGGCAATTTGAATGCAAATGCATGACACTGTGACAGCAAGGTGCTTATTAAACTGATGTGTCCTCCTGTCTTTTCTGCTGGGAGCTCAGGAGAGTGAAAAGACGCGGGGCAGCTGGAGGAGCTGGTCGGACTATACCGGGAGTTGCTCACACCAAGTCCTGTTCTGCTGCAAGCAAAACATCAACAACAAAATGGCAAGTTCTGCCTCTCTGGGGACGGTGATGTCCTGCGGTAGGACCGGACCGTCCGCGGCTCCTAAGACCCTGGCTTTCTCCATAGACCGGATCATGTCCAAGAGTTCGGAGCCGAAGGAGACCGTGGACGAGCGGTCAGAGGGGAAGAAGCTGCTGGGGCTCTGCTCCCCGATCCCCTGCATGATTCCGCTGCAGCCCTTCAGCTACGACCTCCAAGCCAAGGCGCTGATGAACTACTCGGAGTTGTGGAGAGCCAGTTTCAGGGGGACTTTTTGTGGATCCGCAGCCGCTCCCTGCAAAGGGAACTGCGGCGTGTGCGGCAAAGCGGAGCCGGGCTTGAAGCAGCCGCTGCTGACATCGGGGAGCAGGGTGGTGAAACCACAGGTCATCCACCAGGCCGTGGCCGTGCCCAGCGGCGGCTCGCTCTACTATCTCAACTACCTGGACTCTGCGTACCAGCAGTCGGAGCTGCTGGCCGGACACTGGTTCTCGAGCCCGCAGGTCCAGGCCTCTCTGTCGGCGCACCACAGACTTTTGCTTCTGGAGAACGCCAAGCTGGCCGGGGTCGGGGCCGACAAGCTACCCACACCTCAGTACCCGCACAAGGAACATCTGCCAGGGCAACTGGACCAGATAGTGAAAGAGAACAGCGGCCTGAGCGCCGAGAAGAACGGCATCAAGACGCACAGCAAACTCAGCAGCAGCGGCAGCAGCGCTGCTGACGGAAAACCCAAAAACTTCACATGTGAAGTGTGTGGAAAGGTAAGCTTATTTTTTTGAAGTGTGTAGTCTAGGCTAATGCATACACAAACACACACCTACTTTAGTTTACAATTAATGTAGCCTAGGCCTATTTTTTTTATTTTTTTATTTAGACTCAACATTTTTAAGTTAAATTAAAAGGATCAACCAAAAACTTTAAATAAACACTACAAAATAAACTATTCAGTTGCAGCCCATTAAATTCCATATTATCTAAAATACATCTATTTATGCAAGCAGATATCTGAGGCACTCTCAATCCAGATCGCCGGGGTCAAATTCTTAATGATGTCCTGGGTATTTTTGTATTATCCGCAGGTTTTTAACGCGCATTATAATCTGACCAGACACATGCCGGTGCACACCGGGGCCCGGCCCTTCGTTTGTAAAGTGTGCGGGAAAGGATTCCGGCAGGCCAGCACGCTGTGCAGGCACAAGATCATCCACACACAGGTGAGCTGCAGCGCACAGACGTCATTTTCTTGATCATTACCGGGCTTTTAAAATCCCACCTTTCATTTTATTTTGTTTTAACTGTGTTTTTTTCTCGTTATGTTTTTTTTTTCCCCCGTTCAGGAAAAGCCTCATAAATGCAACCAGTGTGGGAAGGCGTTTAACAGAAGCTCGACGCTCAACACTCACGTACGGATTCACGCAGGATACAAACCTTTCGTCTGTGAGTTCTGCGGGAAAGGTTTCCACCAGAAAGGTAAATAATCCACCGCGATGCCATCTTTAAAAGGCTCAATTACAATGGGCGTTATTAGTCCAAACACCTTTAGCAGTTGTTGTTTTTTTATATAGCCAGGCTGTTTCTGTTATCCTAAAGTGGTTGTAATACCCCGAAAATATTTCAGTGGTTAGTGCCTCTGCCCTAAACTGTACCAAAAAAAATCGAAGCTTGATCTTGTGCTTTATTGCATCTTAAAATGTTTTCTCAAAGCCAGAAATCTTGTTTCAAGAATCAAGTGTCTTTTTTTTTTTTTTACATGATCATCTTCCTGTTTCTGGTAGTGACCGTTTCTAGAAAATACCTGCACAGGGAACAAGTGAGATAATCTCACTTCTTTTAATGACAGAAAATTTTGAGGACTCCGCAAAAGATTTTTTTTCAAATGTTATGATACTCTTATCTATTCTTATAACGTAGCTGCTGGGTGATATTTTGTTTGTCTTGTGTTTTCAGTGTAGGGCTATTTTTTCCCTGCAAATTTTTCGACTTGAGGGGAAAAATAGTTTATTCGCCTATATGCAGTAATTTCACTGAATTTAATCTGGCATGAGGAAACAGGATTGTTTTCTAAAACAATGACAGTTTATAGGACACGCATATTCCTGTAGGGATGCAGCCATGCTATGATCTGACTTCAACTTTATGTGTGGACAAAATCCAGTGAATCCGCAGGGAATCAATATTTGCTGCTCCTGCCTGTAAGCGTAATGAGAGGAGAAGTAATTGCAGGCCCACCGATGAGCATGAAGCGATCAGTGGAAATAGGACATGTCACTTTACACGGACTAATTCTCCCTTCAAGACTGCAGCATTTGCTCTGGGTCAGCTGCTGGACCCCAGCAAATTTGTGAATCTGGGCTTTTCTTGTTGAGTTGTCGCCGCGCTTGATTTTGACAAAGTTTGACAATTTCTTGACTTCGACACACAAAGCCGTGATTAATGAAGGCTGGGCAGAGCTGAGCGGCCAAGGAGACTCTAACTTCACAATGAACTGCTAACCTTGGCGGGGGAACAAAAAGAGAAGAAAAAGAGGCCTGTTTCATCCTCACTTTCTTATAAGATCCCCAGTAAACGGCACAGTGACTCACTTTAATCTCCTGGGGGGGGTTTTCAGTGCCCTTTTAAAAATGATCCATTTCAACTGTGATCTCTCAGGGAAAAATCCACCAGGTGAAATCACTCCATTCAAATTTTGTGCAGCTTCATTTGTTGTTGTTTTTTTTTTTTTAGATCTTATTGAATGCAGTAGCATCATTTACTTTGTTTTTATTTATTATGGATTTAGAAAAAAGGCCCAAAACTCCAATACAGCTGGAATTAACCTTAAAAATCCAGATGCTTTCAATGATTTCAGGGAAAATAAGACTGGCTTTATATAATGCATATAGGCTTTATTTCTACTGATGATGTTTCTGAGGAATGATTTGTATTCTGTCCTCTTTTTTTATCCCATGGTGGTAAAGGCCTACTGAAGCTGCTTTCTGGTTTAGTGCGGAGTGCTTATTTTTTTGAATGCACGTAAAGACATGTTACAGGGAAAAGAAGTTGAGGTCATGTTCGGCCAACTAACATGTACATTCTGCGCTGTTTTCACACATGTTCGCACAGAATTTTCCTGATTTTCCTGACATTCCATGTTATGAAATGTCATTTACACTTGAAGTCACAGGAAGTTGCGCCGGTTTGATGTTATTCACACTCTTTTGCAAGAAAGTTCATGGTACATTTAGTGCTGAAAGGACGAGTTGTAAAAATACCTAACAGCTGGTTCTATTTTATGTAATCTGAGGATTTGCTGTCTTTTTGTCCATTTAATCCTTTTTTGAATTACTGGTCAGACTAAAAGTTAAAACTTGACTTGAGCCTCTGGTCTCTAATAATGAGATGAGATTTTGTAAAAAAATTGACATTTTATAGATTAAAAAAATACAAAAACGTATTATTATTAATTAAAAATAATAGTTGCAGGCTATAACTTGCACCTTTTGCTCCATTCAAAGACATTTCCTCAAATGATGTTTCTGTTTAATGATCCAATTCCTCTCATGCATGTGGTCATTATTGCTTTTTTTTTTTTACTTCCCAGGAAACTACAAGAACCACAAGCTGACTCACAGCGGAGAGAAGCAGTACAAGTGCTCCATCTGCAACAAAGCCTTCCATCAGATCTACAACCTGACCTTCCACATGCACACGCACAACGACAAGAAGCCGTTCACCTGCGCCACCTGCGGCAAGGGCTTCTGCCGCAACTTTGACCTGAAGAAGCACATCAGGAAGCTGCACGACAATGTCTTCTCGGCGGCCACAGAGGCCTCCAGAGAGCTGCAGAGCTGAGGCATACTGCTAATTCCCCCATTGTAATATTCCACCTCGGACTGTTAGGCCTCAAAAAAGACTGGCTTATGTCCTGCATTTGTTGCCACATTGAACAGTTTTTGAAGTCCAGAGAGAAGGTGCAGTCCAATAAAACTTGACACGATCCCTTGAAAAGAACTGTGCAATCCTATAAGTGTTAGGATCCTGCCCAAAATGTCCCAGCAGTGACACTGTACGGAATACACAACAGACCAGAAGGAACAACACCACCTTACACTAAACACTGGGTCCCATACTGTGGGAATGTTATAGGGATTTTTTTCTGCCGAGATCAGATTTCTTCCTGCTGTCCAGGCATCAAACAGGGGAGAAATCATCTGTCTCGATGACAGAACTGTAAATAATAGGTTATGAAAATAAAGATTGTTATTTAAAATGTGAATCATTGCCATTTTGTGTATTTCACAGGAAAAAAAATGTAAATGTGAATTAAAAAGTTCTAACTTATGATCAAACTTTGAGCCATGTTGTTTTATTCATTTTTTGAAGGTGTTTGAAAATAAAACTGAACAATATGTGTGTTGGTTGAGTGTAGCAACATTTTTAGGTGTGGGTTTTTGCTGACTGGTCCACGACTTGACAACATTTCAGAAAACACATGCACAAATTCAAAAACACAACACCTTTAAAAAAAAAACATGCATAGGCCTACAGCCTAAACATGGAACAGGAAACAAATTTTACAAAAAAACGAATCAAAACAGGAAACAGCAACATTTCAAGAACAACTTCAAACTATTATGATTTGCTGTTTTCTTATTTGTTCAGTTGATTTGTTTAATAGCATGTTGTTTTATTCTGTTGGATTTAGTTATTTTTTTTTTTTTTTAGAGTTGTTGCTGTGTTTTAAACCTCATTTATCCATTTGTTAACATGTCAGATGAGCTAACACCTTTAAGGTGACTTTTATTTAAATACATGACAGTAATGGGATGAATTCTAAATATGATGCCCTCAGTGTGGTGTGGACAACATTAAGGCATACATCACATCTATTACCGCGGAGGCATCAGTCTGCTAAAAGTTGTGGGTGTTTATTTTGAAGTGTTGTTAGAAACCCACATATAGACTCAGTCAGGCGGTACTGTATGCTCTGCAGCCACTTTGCTTCACCATTTATTGACAGACACGATCTTAATAATGCAGCATTTACACTTGACTGCGGCGTAATGGCGCAAATGATCAGAGATAACATGGGCCCTTGAAAGCGAATTACATTAACCAGCTAAACTGCTTGGGGAGGCTTGATTGAGGAAGGTGGGGGGGGTGGGGGGTACTGTCGCATCCGGAGCCGCTCATCAGAACAGGAGATAATGGAGCACTCAGGCCGCAGCTCCTCATCTGGGCCTCCGCGTTAATAGACCACAAGTTATTCTCCTCACGGCTCCTGGAACAATATTATCCCTGCACACATTCTGTCGAGAGGCAGATCCGTGTTCCCAAATGGCGCTCTTTCTATTAACAGCCAATTAGCGCTCAGCCGGGCCGGCCAGGCCTGCAGAAGCCTGGCAGGGCTAATATTGCCAGATTGAATGCCCTGCTCACCTATTTCATCAGTCTGCACCAGGGACACAGACACACAGACATTTGCACCGAACTGTAAACTTTAACAAAACAGACTAAAGGGCTCTTGTAGTTGGTTAAAAGAAAGAAAATAAGTTGGGCAGCCTACAGCGACAACGGACTTATCCTTTCTGTATCAGCCCAGGTTACTGTAGCATTCAAATTAAAATGATATCATCTAGGGTTTACAGAAGTCTAATTCCTCTTGGTCTAGTGGAATCCTTTAGGCTGAAGCTGCAACAAAGCTGAGTTCAACAATTTGGTATGGTTAAATTCCATCTGATGACCTTGTCATGTCATTCAAAATGCCAAAACACTTTCCTCTGCAGCAGATAATCCAGACATCTGCAGTTTCTGTGTGCATAGCCTATTTTATTTATTAAAATAACGTTCATGCCTTATGATTTCTAATGCTATCCACACAGCATTAAAAAAAACACAGAGGGAGCAATAAAAAAACACACGAAAACACACACACACACACACACACACACACACACACACTCCTTGTGCGTGTGTGCAGAGCCTCCAGACTGCCTGAACCACAATGTCGGAAGCCGTAAACAACCTAAAGGCGCGCAGGTTGTCCTTTTCTCTGCACTCTTTTTTTCTGCACCTCTCCCAACATCTGAGCAACCGCCTCAGTATCCACAAACACGTTAATTGACGAACGGGAGCTTTAATTAAGGCGCGCCCACGCCGAGGAGATTATAGAGGCAGGGTGCTGGAGGGAGCGCGAGAGCGGGAGCGCGCGCTAATCGGCTGTCAACAACATGAGGACATCTTTCTTTTGCTTCCTCCGCCGCCGGGGGATCACCGGGGATTCAGGCAATTTACGGGCCACAAAGGAGCTCGTTTGAGACAGGAAGAGAAGAAAAGAGAGAGGCGGACTTTTTGTCTGGCCGATTGAATTGATTGTAAATGGGAGATTAGCGGGGAAGCTTCAGCAGCGGCCCTAAGTGGCCGATCGAGGAGGAGGGAGAAAAAGGGACCAATTAAGTCTACCAAATGTTAACTTACATCAGTTTCCCCTTAGTTTAGCCCACATGAAATTCCAATTAAAGCGTCCCCGAGCTAGCAGCTTTTTATTCTTTAGAAGAGGGTGGAGGGGTGACAGTTTAACGTTCCCACAACATCTGATAACATTACCTACAGGCTCTGTGATGGGCCATTTGGATAGCAATGCAAACATTTTATGTAATTTAACAATAATACAAACACCCTGGCCTAGATATTAACAGTGTGAGAATATGGACAATTTAATTGATATCCTGCTGGCCTGTCTAAGAAAAAAGTAAATAAAAATGTCTTATGACAGGAACTGATCAGCATAACTTTATTAGGAAATAAATATGAATCAAATTAAATGTAAACACCAACAAAACAAGAATTTTGTGGGACATGCCATAAAGCAAAGAAAAAGCAGACTGACAGAGGAAACTGTCCACTGAGCTTCTGAATCTGCAATCAGCATAGGCTACAGACATAACAAATGAAAACATTATAAACCTAGTGTTTGTTAGGGGGACGGTTTGAGTTTTAATGTTCATAGGACATTTTGAGGATGTTTTGACTTGAACAGAACAGTTTGTGGCAAGATGTTCTGACAGTAAAACACAGATTTACAGAATCTCCCATTTTTATATTTGCACTTTTTAAGAAGGGCAAATAGAAATTGATATTTTCTGGATGGATCGTTTCTTTTCTCCCCAGTAGTTTTCATTTTATTTGATTGTTGTTCTGTTCTTAATATTGATGGTAGAGAAGCACCCGGCACCCAACCCCTACCCCACCCCACCCCGGCCCTCGTTAGGGAAGCACTGGCCCTTTGGCACAATGGGCCTCCGAGATTCATTGTAAAGTACTGAGGGGTTAATGAGCAGTGGCTTCTCTCCCCTCTTTGGCTATATTCTTGCTTTAAATGAGAGGCTGCTGAAAGGATGGAGGATGGAATGGGCCACAATGGAATTTAGAAATGTTGAGATGTTATGTTTCAAAACACACATCTGTTACATTTCTTACGGAGCAAGTTTGACATTGTCTTTGTTGATTAAAATGCTGGCATTGACCCTGTCTTAAAAACATACCCAGAAAGCCCTGAATGTACCCGGAATCCAGGGTGCGATGCATGGAAATGAGCCACTCAAGAAGCAGCCGAACACACAGATTAAATTGGAACAGCCACGGTATTCACTCGCACCTCATTTAGATTCTTTTACAAAGTCAACCCTGAGCCTTTCTCCACCAAAAACTCATCAGAATGTCTTAAAGACGGTGGCGAGCAGCTTGTCCCTGGGATGTGCCTGCCCGCCTGCCTTGGCATGTCAAGGGCACAGCGGGCCGGGAGTAGGTGCTTTGTGGCTGGGAGGGGAAGTGGTGGGCTGCTGGGAACTGAGCAGGGAGGGAGCTCTCATCGCTGATCTGTTGTCAGACTCCCCTCTCTGACCTCCATCCATCCAGCCATCCATCTGTCTATGTGGTCTGTAGTTCCAGGGTGAGGAACCCGAGGGGGAGCCTCCATCTCACTTAGGTGGAGGAGGACGACGTAGGTCTGACCCCGCCAGGTTTAGCTGTTTCTAAACAAACTAAAGAGGGCTGACAATTTCAATTATGTTTAATTACCCATTTCATGACCAAAAAACATCCCAAAACTAATACAGTATTCCCTGCTTTACTGCCACACCTGTTCTTGTAAGATGATTTTCCAATTAACTGTCTAGTCATTAAAAAAGCATAAACACCAAACATTCGCTAGTCTTCTCTCGAATATCTTTGGGTTGTTGACTGTTGGTCGAACACAACAAGCAGCTTCGAAGACATCTCCTTCTACTCTGGGACATTTGTTAAGGCCGTTTTTCATTTTGTTTTTAGCGTTTTATACACTAAAGAATTAAACAAAAACAACTGATGAAAAACAGTGACCGACTGAATAATAAAAAGAATCTTAAGTAGCAGAATAACACGTTTTCTTGCACCTGCTACAGAAATTTCACATGTAATCATTCCCATTAAAAGTATGGCAACATTAAAAGCATGGGTATGAGTAAAATAGGACTCCTTCCTAAATGCTTTCCAAAGTTACAGTGCATTACAGGTCATCAGAACACATCAGAGCATATAGCAAGTTGTGTTCTGAAATTTTTTGTTTGCACTTATATGATATAATTCTATCCCAGCTTACTGTGCATTTTACCACATTTAATTAATTCAGTTTTTGTGAGAAGTAATTTATAGTTAAATAATTTATATAGCGTTTTCTAAAGGATACATTTATTTTTTAAAAATCTATATTTTCACAGAACTATATTTGCATATTGGGAGACCCCACAGACAGTTGAGGAAATTCTAATTCTATCAAGTAAAACGTCTGCGCAGATTTACGCAGAAAAGGCCTTTATGGCTAACCACAGAGAATGTGTAAAAAAAAAAAATCACATAATTTGCTCGCCAGAAATTAATCTGCACCCTCTGCAGTCAGCAGCACCCTGTTTTTCTTTAAAGATCTTATGAATCGATCGGTTTGACCACATTTGTTGTTTTGATGTTTTTGCCACGCTGAAAGTCATACAAAACATACTTGCAAGAGTACAAAAGACAACAGCCACGCAAACATCTCCAAATGTACAAACTCCTGTGCATTTGCTGACGTGGAGATGGAAAAGCCTTGTTCTGACAAGAGGTGTGCAGCACATGTCGGCCTACAAATGAATCTACAAACTGAACTGACTATACTGAATCATGATCCGCTCAGCTGTGATTCATAGTCTGTTACTGTTTGGTTTGAAGCGTAGTTAAAGACAGCAAAAGCCACAGAAACAATCAGGATGTGAGAACTGTTGCAAATAGATGGATGCTGAGCCATTAACCTTATGTACAGTATT